TTTCTCTATACCTACCCATGTACATAAGAAAGCAAAATATTATAAGGTGAGAAGAAGGTGGAGGGCACAAAAAACCATGTTAGGCACAATAATTACGCAGTATACCGATATAGCGCGCGGCGAGGGGATTTATTTTTTTCCGTTACGAGATCCGTGAAAAAACAAACAGAACACACAATGTAGTCGTGTTATTTTTAAATTCTCTTTTTTTTAAGATAGTAATAGATAATGATTTTTATTTTATATTTTATACTGAACCGTTCACGACGACGGGCGACACGTGTAGGCAAAACAAGTACATAACTGCACACACGAACACGATATAATAATTTATTATATTATTATGAGACCGACGAACGGTTTTTCTTTTTTTTTATTGAAAAACTATACTAACAAAAATACTTTAGAATCATCATAGACGTACACTCTTCTCTCCGCCACACGTCGTTCACTCCGACGAAACACAACGATTAAAAACGACAAAATAATAATAATATATATATATATATAATGCTAATTGTGCCGGGTTGCATAAACGATCTGTAAAAAAAACACCGATTCGATAACTTTTATAATGTAAGATAGATAATCCTGTTCGGGTCGCATAATATAGAGGGAGTGTATGGCGGTTCAATGAGATAAAAATATCTGGGTGTCGCAACAATTTGGCTTTGTTGATCCCGGTTTAAACTCCTTCCGTTTTTAAAAATTATCTAGAAACACGCCGCTGGCGTGCAGTGTTTTTTCATACACAAATGTACACGACGATTGTGATTTTACGGTGTAATTTAATGAGAATTGCGATGCTGATGCTTTCCACGCTATTAACGCATAACTGAAAAAAAAAAAAAAAAATGCTATAAGAAAAATTGTGAAAAACCGACAAATACGTTACGTTATTAATTGATTAGTGTTACACACGAGGGGCTTTTATTCTGTTAATATTTTATCAGGCTTTCAATTTGCCGAATTAAATAAAAAGATAAAATGATCAGTCGTCGCTTTTGCAACGGCCGAGGACTGTTTTATCGAACCGGTTGCTTCTACAGTTATAACTATGTCGAAAATCGATTCGATCACCCGCAATTACCTGTTGGTCGTTTACGCAACCCATCGTTACTGATAATTATTGTTTATATTGGCCGCAGTCCCGCCATCACATAGATATTATTATTGTATAGTCAAACGTGATCCGTTTTAATAATCGGTGGTGTTTTTGTTTTTTTTTTTTTTTTTTTTTTTTTTTCTTCGCAGGGAGTATGCTGGCCAAAAGAAATTGGACAACGTCAATTTCACGTATACTCACATGCAGTTGAACAACACCTGACAACAACAAGATAGACCACCGGTATTGCCCGCCCAAGTCTAGACACCATCATCATCATAACAGCGCGCGACACGACAAAATCCAAAATAACCACCTACATAATATTATACCTATCTACCTATATTTTACGTTTACCATAATAGTATGCCCGTACGTAGGTAAACCGAAAAACAAAAAAAAAATAATAATAATAATAATAAGAAAACCTCAGACGGAAATATTATTTCTTATTATTTTTCGGTCAAGATTTAATTCGATTTAAACGTAAAAAAAAAAAAACGTATACATAATTTTACTATAATTAAAATAGTAATAATTATCTAAGTATCTAAAAGTAAGGCTTTTAATAGTTTCCTCGTCATTTACGCGCCCTTAGTGTTTTTTTTTATAATCATTTACCTATATATAGATAATAATATTTACAACTATATTATAACATATAGCGTATTATTATCATACCTGTATATACCTATAAAAAAAAAAAAATTAAATACCTATTCCTAAATAATAATTTATCCTATAACTTTATACCCTAAGCTTTTTAAACTATAAATATTATATACCTATACCTATCTATATTATATACCTACCTATACCTTATACCTTATACCTTATAATATAAACGATTTTTTTTTTTTTTTCCAATAACACGATATTTTAACACGCTTGCTTTTTGTTTAGTCGGGTAATAGTAGTGTAAGATCTATTAAGACTCATCAAATCTGTGATTGTTTCTCGTGTATTTTTTATTTTTACTTTTTTTTTTTTTTTACCAAAAAAATATCCAAAAAAAAAAAAAAAAAAAAAATGTAAGCGCGCTCATCTACATTCACTGGATACATATCAAATATAAAATAAATGCTTTGAAAAGGGATAAACGTTAAACATTTGTAAATAATTTTTTTTTTTGTTTTAATAACAATAATAAAAAATATACGAAATATATTATATATATAAATATAAAAAAAAAAAACAAAAAAAATAACAAATAAGAAAAGACCAAGTCCCCGGGGTAAACACCGGGACGGTCTCGTCGGAAACGTTATTCGTATTTCGCGGACGAGCAATAACATATACCGAAATACACTCCCACTCACGTCAGGGGTGGCGAACGATGTATTATTATCTGTGTCCGGGCAACAGGATCCGGGTTCTTGCAAAATTGACGGTAAATTCGGGAAACGATAACAAAAAAAAAAAAACAAAAAAAATTTGCAATAAAAAAGTAACGAACGAAAGAAAATCAAATTGTACACGACAAAGACAATATGAAAAAATAAGAACAAATAAGAGAGTGCTTTTTTTTTGTTTTTTTTTTTTTTTCTTAAGATTTCTCTCAGTTATCGCCAATCGTTTCGAGACTCGGAGTTGTTAACGTCGCCCGGGCACCGCGGATATGAACTCGCTCACTACCCCCCTCGCCCCTCCATCCCGCAGGATAATATTGCGGACGGGTGTTCGGTTTTATAGACAATTGTGATTATTGTTGTTTCGTCTGCGAACGTGTCCGCTCGAGACCGGTCCGCAGTCCGCGGCCAAAGTCTGACAAAAAAAAAATTAAAAAAAAAAAAAAAACAAATTATATTTATTATTGAATATATGTTTAAAAAAAAAAAAACTATATTAAATTTCTGCAAACTATTTTTTTATACCGATAATTAATATTTTTAGTCTTTTATTTCTTGCCATCTCATATTATAATATTATTATATACGAGTAGATTTTGTTTCAAACAAATTTACAGGGTGCAGCTTGTTTAGCAGCTCATTGGAAGTTATTATAATATAAATATTATATTCTATTATTGTAACGGTATAGAGACGAGGAATTTTTTTTTTCGTTGTTGCGTATTCTCGCCTTTTATTAAAAAAAAAAAACCGAAAAAAAAAAACCATTATAGGTTATTTCTGGGAACACGTATAAGCTATGATAAATATTATTAAAATTATTGTATTTTAAATGAAAAATAAAAAATCGAGAACATAATATTTTCAATAATATTCTTTAAAAAAAAATGACAATCTTTTTTTAAGTTTTTAATATTTTTTAAGACAATAAATAATTTTTCGACGTTTTTTTTTTTCGTTTCGTTTTGTCCTCGAAGTAACACGCGTTACTCATAATAAGTATTTACGGTATGTGTATTTCTTTTTTTTATAAATATAATATATATTTATTTGTAATAATATCATATAACGATATATACTAAAAAAAAAAAAAAGACCAAAGATTACATTCTATTTATTTAATTTAGTTTATTGTCATATTTTGTTTTTTTTTTTTTTTGTTGTTTTCTAGGCGTACCAAATAATGTAATATTGATATTTTTTAGTACTCTTTTTCCTTGAGTTTCTGTGTACATAATATTATAATAACGGTTCTATTTATTTAATTTAGTTTATTGTCATATTTTGTTTTTTTTTTTTTTTTATTATGTCCGTTTTTTCAGTATGTGTTAATTATAAATATCGAAATGATTATTATTATTTTCTAAGCTACACAATTATTACGATAACATTATAGACGTCTAATAATTGATTTATTAATGTATTAAACAATTTTAGTTAAGCGTATTTGACTATGTATAATTATTACTATACATACACACATTATTATGTAATGTATTATAACGGAGAGAAAAAAAAAAAAAAAAAAAAAGTACCATTCGAAATATACTTAAAATTGTAAGTATTTTAATTTTAATTGTAACTTTTATTGTTTTTTTTTTCTTTTCTTTTTTTTTCGCGTGCGTTTTGTTTTGTTTTTGTTTTTTTAAACGTCTGTGATCACCGCGTGGTAAAAAAAAAAAAAAAAAAAAAAAAAAACCGTCAGATCTGTTTAACGGACCCGCCTAACGTCGCGTCGTTCGTTACGATAATACCTATAGTATACATAAATAATACAATTTTAGTATCCGCATTAATGAACATAATATTCGTTTGAAATCACTATCAATTATGCTCCGGTGTTTGCAGGCCGCATAGCGAAAGACGTCCGCGTAAAATAAATGTTAAAGAAAAAAAAAAAGAAAAAAACAAATACTCGACCCGAAAACGAACTCGGTAGGTACTGTCACACATTCCACGGATAATGGCAATAACAATTACTGTTATCGATTATTGGCATTGTTATTATTATTATTTTTATTATTACTAGAAGGCATTCCGGCAACAGACGACCCCTCTCCTCCCACGCCCCCTCCCCCGAACGGTTTTATTATCTTAATACCTTTTAACGAGCTATATAGTCTAGAGACAATTTAAAAACAAAAAAAAAAAAACAAATAATAACACCCGCGTTGTCTGTTGGATATATTATAGCAATATACGCCGAGGCGTGTAATACTAAATTATCGCGTTATTTGTTGACGAACGTCTTTCGCTAAGAAAAAAAATAAATACAATTTAATTACATAATATCCGTCCAAATTTTAAAAAAAGTTCTTTATTCTTTTTCTTTGACTTTTTTGTTTTGTTTTTTTTTTTTTTTTCATCTTTTAATTGTATCGTTATTATGATATTATATTATTATTATTATTAATTATAATTAATTATTATTAGAGTATTATTATAATACGTAGGTATTATTATTTCGGAAAAGAAATTTTGCAACAAAAAAAAAAAAAAAATTTAACTTTTAAGCTCAAAAAACAGATTACGTTTGATGTTTTTTTTTCCGTTCGTTTTTAAACTTACGATTATTATTATTAAAAAAAAAAAAAAAAAAAAAAAAAACATTAAAATAGCCTTTCTTAAAACGCAACACATACATATCATTATATACATTTTTGACGCTATGCGTATAGCCAGTGTATTTTTTTTAATGTGATCAACACGTAGCCTTATTATTACTATTATTATTATATAATTATTACTTATATACCTAATATTGTGTATTTAAATAAATAATACAAATTATAGTGGTTTTAAACGCCTAAAATATTATTTATAAATAATTATTGGAGAAAAAAAAAAATGTGAAAAGACCGAAAATTACGATTTACGTAAGAGCAAAAAACACATGAACGTAAAAAAAAAACAAAGAAATACAATTATAAGAATAATCTTAATTTTCGTTTTAGCCGTTTAAATGACGCGCAGTGCGCATTATCGCATTGCGCGGAAAATTAAAAGTAATCTTTTCTTTCTTTTGTGTTTTTTTTTTTTTTTTTTTTTTTTTTGTGTGTGTAATTTTCGGTCATCTGTTGCTCTGATATAAAAATACAATTATATTTGTAATTAATTATATTAATAAATAAATTATATTATAAATGTATAACTACCGGGCGTATACGCGGCGACACCGAAACAAATAAAAAAAAAAAAAATGTATAATCGAAACATATCAATAAATAACCCCAACTATACATTATATGGAAAAAGTGTTTAATTAAATATTATATATTATTAAATATTCAAAATATATTAATTAATGTTGTTAAACGAGAATATTTTAGGAAAAGAAAAAGATATTACAATAATTACCGGGTCCACGATAATAATTGATTATTGTTACTGTGACACTCGCGTACCCACGCCATGCGATATAATTATTATTATTATTGTATCGGCGGGGGCTAATGTGTTTCAATGAACACGTGTTAAAAAAAAAAAAAAAAAAAAAAAAAAAGATTTCATTAGGAAAAAGTAAATCGCATGTATCGCATGTGGTGTGGTCGGTGAAATAATTGTATCGATTTTTCGTAAGTTTGTTTGTATAATATTATATACTTATATATAATTATTATATTGAATGTATTCGATGTAGTGGATTTTCTATAGCCGTTACTGTGCGTAATTTTACATTATGTAATTATAATAATTAATTATTTGATTAACAGTACACGTTTTGTTAAACGGAATTTTTGTCGTTACTTTTACCGAACATTATTTTGTAATGTAATATTATGTTTTTTCGCTTGCGTTATTTATGGTGTTTATTATTATATTTATTAAAAAAAAATTAAAAAAAAAATAGGTATTTAATTATTATTAATTATATTACATCGTAGTTGGTATTATTAAAACAATTATTAATTATTATTATTATTATTATTATTATTATTATTATTATGATTATTATTATTATTATGATTATTATTATTATGATTATTATTATATAGACGATATTATTATTATTTAAACAATGTGAAAAAAAAACCTAAAAAATAGGAATTATTTGTATGTTGTATTTGTAAAACTATGCAAACAAACAAACAAAAAAAAAACTAAATAAAAAATAAAAGTAGTGAATTGATTGGGAATTGTTTATCTTTTTTTCCATATATAGAAAATAAAAAAACGCTTCGTCCTACGGCGTTATAATATTATTGTAGAACACACTTGAATTTTCAATATTTTACAGTGGCATGAATAATGAGAAGAAAACTGAAACATTGTACGGTTTTGTACTATTTACAGAATATTTTAAAAGTTGTTTACAAAATGTTTATTTCAGTATGAAAGTTCATGATTTAATTTTTTTTTTTTTTGCTAAGCGCTGCTTGTAAATTATGGAATACGAATAAGTCGGTTTTTATTATAGGTAGAAGGGGAGACTCCTAGAGACTGAGGGAATGATAGTCACTTCTGGATATTAGTAAGTCAAATATTATATTAGTCAATGCATACGAAGGAAGTATTAACTTGTTAGGTACAATATAGTTAAGTTTCAAATTTTTAAAACTAGTGGAAGTATATTGTTTTTTTATTTGAAAAAAAAGTTCAAATGAGTCCCGTTTTCCTGACGTCGGGGAAATAATGATAGTCATTCAAATAAATATACAAATATCTAGATAATCTTGAAAAAAAAAAAATTAAAATCCTTGAAATTAAAAAAAAATATATATATAAATTTGTAATATTATTACTTAGTCTTTATCAAATTATAATTAACATAGGAACATCAATATTAATACTTAAATTTAAATTTGACATACTCGATCTTCAAGTTATGTTACATGAGAATACATGTTATTAAGTAATTATTAGGAATCACGTATTTTGTTTTTATTAAACCTTAATGAGTTAATAATGTTAGTAATTAGTAATTACTAATTATTAATCTTGGTATCTAAAATAAAATACTAATATTTAATCAATTATTTATTTATACCAATAAAATATCATTTAAAAACTTTATTCCGATAAAAATTTAGTTAATTTGCAATATTATATCAGGGGTAATGGTAATAATTTAATGTGAAATATGAATATCATTATCAAATTAAAAGTACCACAATTCCCCCATTTCTCACTATCTAAGATATTAATAAAATTAAGTTTGATAATTAGCTTAACAAAAGATTTTATATAGAGATTTGTAATAATTAAAATACTAACAAATACAAACATAACAAAATAAACTACGGTAAAAAATACTGGAAATAGACTAAGTTTTAGTCAGATCTCTCTAAAAATATTAAGAACTTCTTTTCTGCGGAAATATTCAACTGAAAACTATCGCATATAATATTTAAGCATTTAGTTAAATGCATTTAGCTATCACAGTTTTGGAGATATCAAGTTGACCATCATTACCTAATGACCACCGTTCCCTCAGTCTCCCCTATTTTAATATGGTCTGAACATTTTTAGAATGGTGGACGGTTAAATTACCTGGCATTGGTGAGGTTTATCTCACCGATAAAGATTGATTTGAATACAGGAAATTATGGCAGTGGAGCTAGAAACCCAATGGACAGAAAGCGAAGAATAATAGGGATAGGTGGCACATTTCGTATTTATCGATAACTACCCATGGTCTTAAAAGCCAAAGCCAACCAGAAGAAGAAGAAAGACGATTTTTTGATTGTTTTACTAATAGACATTTTAAACATCATTTAATTACCGTGAATAGTGCGTATGGTATAACTGTACTATTTTTATAATTATTTTAATACCCGAATCATATACTATCAGATCTTAAAAATATTTCAATATTACTATCAGTTTTCCGTCATTAAAATAAGTAGGTACCGAAATAATAATCTAATGTCATTCCGCAAATAACAAAAACAAACACCTGAATTTTGCAAAATGTATCTATGAAACATTATTTAATTGGTTGTCAAAACTCAAAAAAATAGACAACTATTTTACATAAAAAAAAAAAAAGGTTATTTTGATGCAATACATATTATTTTAGCAGGTAGTCGTTTTTTCTATATTAAAGGTTTTATAATTTAAATTTTGTACATTTGTACATCAATATCAAATAAAGATTTTAGTCATATTTCTAATCAATTGTTAGAAATACTCGAATTGAAAGGCGACGCAGGAAGACTCCGTATCACAACTAATTTTTCAGAAGTAGAGTACCTCTACTATTTGTTTTAAATTGCATGCGTGGGATAGTATATATTTTTGTGTTTTAAATAAAACGCATTTTTCTTCACAGTTTTATCTAAGATTTTTTCGGAATATCCCTATTATTAAGAATATATAAAGACAATTAAATAAATGACCTCATTGCACCAACTAGTTCTATCAGAAAACACCACACCTGCTGATAATCAACGGTCTTAGATAAGTTGTTGAATACGAGTATTTGAATATTAGTATTTAAAATTTAAAATAGTTTTGCAGTGTTTTAATATTTTTTTTTTTTGCTTTTCAAAAGTATTTCCAGCAAATATGAATTCTTCTATTTAAATATTAAGAAGTCCGCTTTATTAATTTTATTTTACAAAAATTTGACCGCCAATAAAAATAATATTGTATTTTGTGAAATAATATTGACAGTATTGGCAATATGATATATTATTAAAAAATATACGAACACGAACACATGGTACACTGCTCATGTTGGCTTCTTGTGATCTTAAGTACGAATAAACGATATATACTCGGAGTTCATTTAACAAAACAACTGTACAAACCTACTATGGATTCATATCTTATACACACATGACAATTTCAGAATGCACATGATTACTATCAAAGTTCATTGGGTCTCTGCATAGGCTTGAGTGGGTCTTTTTGGCAATGTGGGTCAAGCCAATTATATTAAGTATACTTGAAAAGAAAAGAAAATTAGTGTTACACACTTTGATTTGACCATCACGAGTTAATAAATAAATAAATAGATAGTCATTCATATAAAAAAAAAATAAATATTTTTTGTTATACCAAACCAAAAACAAATTTTCAGTAGGTAAATTAAATACCTAATCTAATTTAAATATAACAGTTTATAATTTCATTCTTCTGTCCATTGGATTTAAAATTTTAAACTGTTCAACCATCGCATCAACATTAATGTTGTATGCTACTTCCTGCTCCATTAATAAATTATTAATGGATTACTAACACCGAAAAACTTGAAAAATTAATATAGCTTGTATAAAATTAAACACAGCTGCTTTATATTTTTTTGTTGACCATTCGGCATGCATATTCCACAGTTAACAAAGAACTGATAAGTGAACGTTACAACATACAATTGTCCCGTGTTACAATCGTACCTAGTTTCCCTATCTACCAAATAAAAACTAAGTAAAAAAACTAGCCGAAATGCCAATAAATAGCTTAAAAATCGCCTAAATATTTTGAAAATTCCACGTTTTTTTCAGGTTTTACCTAATTTTTAAGAAAACTACAAGGAAAATCATAAAACAACTTTCTATTCATCAACTAGATCCAAAATACTAGAAAAAAAGAACCATTGCCGTTTTTCGATTGAAGTCTGTAAAAAATTTAAATAATGTTGTAATTTTGACAGTTTAATTTTAAATCTTTCACCAATTTCTCTCAATTATTATGAAAACTACTTAGAAAATAAAAAAAAAAAAAAACGATTTACTCGCTCTCCAATAAGATATAATATTGGTATATTTAGATAAATATATTTATATAGCTTTTTATAGTTTTAGATTCTGATTCTGAACGATGAATGTATTAGTTTTACAATAATATTTATCTATTAAAGGAAATTTTCTTGAATTGGTACTTTAGAGAGGTCATTTTTTAATTTTCTCATGACTTTTCTCATCAACTCTGAAAGACCGAAAAAAAATGGATAAAAAAACGGAAAAATTTACGAAATATATTAGTGAAATATTACGATTTTTTTTTCTGCGAATAACTTTTCTACCAGAAATTTTGCTACGATTTAATATAATAAAAGAGCACTTTTCTGAAAAAAAATCTGTCTGGAAAGATACTTCAGGGACGTCATTTTTTGATTTTTCCAGGAGTTTTCTCAATAAATTGGAAAACCAAAGAAAAAACATGGGAAAACGGTAAAATAGGTATAATATTAAACAAATAGTATTAAAGAAAATATTTAAGTAATTTATATGTAATTGTTTTACCATAATATGACATACATATTGTTGAAATAACAACACTATCAACCGAACTCCGCTTACAATAGTTTTTTCGTTAGCAATGGTTTATCGTTCCTTACAAATATACATTAAATTTTCCCTCTACTACCTTCCCATCTTCTCACTTATAACAGTGACTGCACCCATCCCTTTATCCTAAGAAAGATTTTTTTTTTTTTTTATGGTTTTCGCTCAATGCTTAGGTATACTTTTATTGAGACATTCAAGAACCGGGTTCAGTGGTGTAAATAGAAAAAAAAAAATCAATTGATAGGTATACTATAATATGAAAGTCTTAAAATATTTTACTGTTAATTTACAACAGACGTATTTTTTTCGTTTCACTGCTAATTTATTCAAAACGTCTTCCTGTCATATTATTGTTTCCCAGAAAACAGTCACATGTATGAATATAAACACCCAAATTTATCAAATATCGTGATTTGTATTGTAATCAGTCATAAACCACGACCAAGAATTGTGGTGAAAACTAAAATCCATGGTTTGTAAAAAATCGTGATAAATGATAATAATAATTAGGTATAATATAATATTATAATAATCTATTTGGTCTCTAAACGAATTTTAAAAGTTTTTTGTTCAGCTTATTTACTTATGATAACGTACTCATGATAAAGTAAATGATAATTTACTTCATTGGCCGTTATTATGAGTTTTCTAATATTATGATCATGAAAATTATAGAGATACCTCTAATCTTCATTAGTATGACAAAAAATATCATAATTTTTACTGTAGACTTAACGAAGTATACAATAATATTTATTATGTGAAAATAGAAATGGAGGGGGGAAGATTTAATATCTAAAACTCCCTGGTTACGCCACTGCAAAGAATAGCTGACAGTAATCTAGAATATGTAAACGGTAAGGAGACTCCATTAAACATTTGGAAAGCACTTGTACTAAAACATTCGAACGAAAAGGGATAAAAAGTCAATTGTTTACAATTAGACATCGTTTGTCATTCAAATTTGACGAAAAGCAGTAACTAGTGTCTTATTTTATCACTTTTGATAAACTTACCCGAGATCTCGATGGAGGCAAACCAACCCAACTATTGTGTGTTAGTTTCTTCCCATTAAGTCTACCGAAATTACACGATAATCTAATCACTGCCCTTGAAAGGCTGAGCGGTGATAGAATAACGATCATTTCGTCAAAGTTAAAGTACTAGACGAAGAAACGATAATACTGGGCACAAAATCAGAACCAGACCTCAAGGTCACAACCGCCTTCTTAAGTAATACATATACAAATTAAAACTTCAAATTCAATTGCTACAAATTTGGAAAACATGAACATAGAAAATCAGAATGCAAGTTTGAACCTCCTAAACAGAAAACGAAAGACCAATCAGGCATCAGCAGCTAAACCATAGGAACGGGAAAAGAGTGAGCTTGCTTTTACCGCTCATGAGAAAGATACCAACACTTCTAAAAAAAACATTATGGTACGGCTCATTGTTTCCGGAGTATCGGATTACATGACAAATCAAAGGAACATGTTTAATGGCTTGACTGAGCTAGAATAGCCAATCATGACAACGACGGCGAAGGAAGGTGCATTAACCTCAAACACACGTGTAAGAAAATTAATGTTAGTATGCCCCAATAATCGCATCACAATGTCAAATGTACTGCGTCCCAAATCTCACACATTGTAGGCATACGTTTTTTTTTCTCAATAATCTGAGTGGAATGTAAAATAATTATATGATTTTATATTTCCCGGAATAAAGCCCCCGTTTTTTGACATCGACCTTGTTTTCGGAAAAACAAAAACTTTCCATTAGTTCACTTTCATTGCCTACCTGTTTGAAAACAATAATTTTATTTAAAAAAAAAAAAAATATAAGAGATTCCGATCACCGCAACACTGCCTACGACCGGCGACCACGCACGATCACCGTGTTTTAATTACTGATGATATTGTGTCCGAAAATAGCAATAAAATAAACCTTTTATTTTTCCCATTCTAATTTATTTGAATGTTGACACACGACGAGTGACGACGGGGATAGCCTGCAGTTTATTCGTCTGGACTGGATGGCAGTTTAAAAGGCAATAAAGTACTTACCTACTCGTTCATTATATTTGAACATTCCAGCGGGCACGCTTTTAAAAATTAGTTCGTGTGACTATGGCCTATAAATAATATAAAACAGAGAAGAGTTGAGACCAAATATTCGTGGTTACTTAGTAGTGTAAAGGGTTAGAGGGGGGGAGGGCGCTAGAACGATTGTTCACTGGTTGTACCATTGTCTATCGTACAAAATGAGTCTCTTCTTATTATTTTGCAACAATAGGAGGAGGTGATTCATCTATAAATGATGTAAGTTAAACGAATATCTTGACCGTAGTTACCGCCTCACCGTTACCTCACTGTACCAAAATGGTTTTTCTATCAATTTGTGGCCGGTGACTCTCAACGAATTTATGGATAATAATATGTTTTATGCGCTTGGAAAAATACATAAATATAACGGATTTATGTTTTTTTTTTATTTTTTTTTTTTATCGTTAATCAATAAACTAGTTTCGAAGCATTTTGGATATAGTTGGTGAATACGAAATTCGTTTTTGATTTTGTTGACGGCACTTTTGTGTGAATACTGTGCAAAGCAATCTTATCACATTATTTAAAACACTTATTTTAAACAATTACTACAGTGTATAAGAAAGAAAAAAAAATCAATAATAATTTCACAAATGTTTGATTATATTTTATTTTTGTAAAATGTACACAAATTTTGTTTACGAAGCAAGTAGTTTAAAAGTGGCCCAATTCCCGACAGCACGTTCTACCTAAATAGGAAACTTCTGGCAGGGTATGAATAATGTACAATCCATTGTAGTACATTAGGACATGGTAAACTCCCACATTGACGGATAGTGTTAACTCTTACAACAGATAATATGAACAATACCATTACCTTCCTACAGGAGTTTGCGTCAGGTAACTCCTACAAAAGATAATTTTAACTCCTGAGTTGATGTTAACTCCTACACTATTTAGTTGTAAAATTGTAAAAAGTTAAATTAGGTATTTTAAAGTAAGTAAAAATCAGTCATAAACTACAGAAATAAGAGGTAGAGATTGTTGTGTTTTCAACTCACGGAAATACCGTAGACGTCATCGAAATGTTCGAGAATTTCCGATACGATGCCTTATATTAATATGTTTACTAAATTTTATTATTTTAGATTCGTAAGTCTCTACGAGTATTTATCCAAAATGCAACAAATAAGGTCTCTTATTATTTTTCCGTTAGAGAACTACTTCTGGTATAAAACATCGTGAGTGTTTATTTAAAATAATGAAATTGTAAAATCATACGTTTTCTTCCACTCGATGTAATTATCATCTCAAATAAATTGTAAAACCAACATAAATTCCTCGTTACGCTCAGAATTTAAAATGTAAAAACGTCTGCGTAGGAGATTTACATCATCCATTTTCGGCAGGTAAAAAAAGACTATGCGCGATTTTACACTATGTTTCAAATACAGGTAAAAAGGTAATTTTTGTAGGAGTTTACATGTAGCCATTAATATGTCTACGTTCGAATACCTTCGGTAGGTAAATAAGCAATCCCAAATCAAATATTTTATTTTCAGTTTTATACCGGACTGGCCGAAAAATGGGAAACTGAGAAATCTAACTTTCTGAAATGATTAATAAAACCTACTAATAAAAATTCTATGAAACGTTTTTTGATATTTTTGCAGGTCCACAAATCATGGTGCACCATGCATATCTGTCAGAAAATAAGATAATCGAAAATCAAATTGTAGTTCGTTTTTTGTGTGACCATGGAAAATATGCGAATAGAAACCCTTAGTAGTAAATTTAAATACCTATTTTGACATTTTTGACATTGGAGGAGTTGGGGGGGGGGGTCTTAATATTATATTGAAATCGACTTTCGATCAAAATGCGGTCGATACTTGTTCGATAGCTGTCAGAAATTGTACAGGTACGTATGGAGTAGGTACCTACCTCCTACTCTATTCTGCTACATTTTTCGATCACCGTTTTTGATAATTAACAGCAACTGATATTTTGACATCAAAATCTTTTATATTCGATTACTTACTCATTCGATCGAAAGAGGTAATGGTATTACTTTTTCCTCGTACGACACGGCGCTGTAGTGCGAAATCCGTGATAAAAATACAATAAATACGATCTAATTTTACGATAGTTTTTTTCAAAAAATTGTCAATTGTGTATCAGCACCTAATCAAAGTGTTCATCAATCAATTGATTCGATCGTTATTATTGTTCTCATTTATAATAATGGTGTGTTTTGTATAAATAATTATTGTTAATACCAGCGGCGTACATACGGGGGGGGGGGGGGTTTCGGGTTCAAACCACCCCCCCAGGACCGAAAAAATTAAAAAAAAAATTGCGATATTATTAATCATCCGTGTATATACAAACATACGTCATAATAATACGACTATTGAGTAAACACTATACTTTACCAACGACGAACAAAGATTTTATTACGAAATTATGGGTGCCGCATATCAATCGAAATAGACGTTTGATCGTACACAGTCCGGTTAGTTGCGCGCGGACATAAATACCATATTAATGTTGTCGTTATCTCGACCGACTCGATCGGAAAACGGAGAAAAAACCGATTACGTTATCGGTTATAATCGTTGAATTTCTCGTGAGCGACAATACAACGGTGAAATGGATTCTATTTTTACAGCACTATCGTAAACGACCGTGTTAAAATATTTAATTATGAAACGTTCGTTCGTTCTGTTCTGTTCTGCCGTTGGTGAAGTTTACGTCAACGATTGAACGTCGAACACCGTAAACCATGGGTAAGTATTTAGTTAAGATTATCGTTATAAAATAAATAGTAATCGTGGCTGAAGAAAAACAACGGAAAATACAATCTTTTTTTTTCAAAACCGCCCGCAATAATGAATTCATTGTCAAATCCATTGAACGCAACTCCAAACAGTCCATAAGTTCCTCTAGTTCCTCATTACCATCAACCGTATCTGTATCTGATACACCTATCGCCCAGTTCACACCTTCGACTACAGATATTAATCGTACATCTTCCGGGTATAATGTTTTTGACATTGCACATTACACAAATAAATTATTAAAGCAAAGTGAAATAGAAGAAATTTTGAGCAAAATCTGGGTCCCTGAAATTAATTACAATTTTCCTATCAAAATATCATCTATCAATATTTATACGTGTAACGTGTTTGATTGTCAGGAAAATGGGTAGTTTTAAAGAGAAGGAGGAAAATGGGTAGTTTTAAAGAGAAGGTTTTAGTGTTGGTATTTTTAT